TTTTGAGTTGGAGTCTCACTCTGTCGCCCAGACTGGAGTGCAGTGGCCGCTCCCGGCCACTGCACCTCGACCTGCTGGGCCCCGGCAATCCATCAGCCTCAGCCTCCCAAGTAGCCGGAACTACAGGCACGTGCTACCACGCCCGGCTAATTTTTTTTGTATTTATTGTAGAGACGAGGGCTCACCAAGTTACCCAGGTGGGTCTCAAACCCAAGGGCTGAGGCAATCCACTCGCCTCGGCCTCCCAAAGAGCTGGGATGACAGGCTGAGCCACCGAGTCCGGCCCCAAGCGAAATATTAAGATATTAAGCATCCATCCCAGCAGAAATGCAAGACACTCCCACTTCACCTCCACCTCTGTTCAATAGCCTGTTCGGAATGGACAACAGTAGACCAAACTTCTCTGTCTTTGATGGGTCTTTTAAAACACAGTATCTGCCCAAAGACAGTTTCTCATTTAAAACAATACCTGGGTTTCATTGTAACTTTTAGGCCCTTATTTTGTACCTGGCAGTGGGGACACACAGTCTACCACATGGATGAACCTTGAAGACACTGTGCTCAGTAAAGAAACATCACAAAAGACAAGTACTGTGTGATTCCCCTTATAGGAGGTCCCTAGGGGAGTCAGAGTCAGAAACAGAAAGTAGAAGGGGGGGGTGCCAGGGGCAGGGGGAGGGAAGGATGAACTGGGAGTTAGTGTTTAATGGGTGCAGAGTTTGAGGTTTGCAAGATGAAAAGAGTTCTGCAGAATGGGGGCACAGCAATGTGTGTCTTAATATGGGTGAAATATACACCTAGAAATAGTTAGGATGGCGAATTTTGTGTCATGATCTTTTACTATTATTATAATTTATTATTTTTTTTTGAGTTGGAGTCTCACTCCATGGCCCAGGCTGGAGTGCAGTGGCACACTCACGGCCACCCCAGCATCAACCTGTTGGGCTCCAACCATCCTTCCGCCCCAGCCTTTCAAATAGCTGGAACTACAAGCATGCACTACCACGACCGGCTAATTTTTTGATTTATTGTAGAGATGAGGTCTCGCCAAGTGGCTTGGGCTGGTCTCAAACCTGCGGACTTACGCAATCCTCTCGCCTCGGCCTCCCAAAGTGCTGGAATGACAGGTTGAGCCCCCGAACCTGGCCAAGACCTCATCTCTTAAGAAATTGTTTTCAATTTTAAAAACTTTATTTTTAAGCGTATTGCTCAGTGGCATGAAGTGCATTCATACTGTTGTGCAATCATCACACCTTCCATCTCCAGAACTTTTACATCTTCCCTAACTTTCTTGTGTAAACATTAAATAATAACTCTCTTTGCCCCTAACCTCTAATCTACTTCTCATCTGAAAATTTGCCTATTCTGGGCACCTCATATCGGTGAAATCACACGGTATTTGTCCTTTTGCGCCTGGCTTCTTTCACTTGGCACGTCTTCAGGTTCATCCATGCGGTAGCAAGTGTCAGAATTCCACTGCCTCGCCCTTTTTTTTTTTTTTTTTTT